GGTGAAGGTTATTGTAGACAAAAAGCTCACACTTACTGGTGCCAAAAAAGTCTTGTATTAATCAAATACATCATGCTTAGCATCCTAAGAGATTCTACCTTCCCATAGTGAAGGGGGAAAAAAGAAGATGTCTTTATTATCAGATGAATGAACTCAAGTTACAGTGAAGCTCATTGTAAAACTGAATCCTTCTCTATTTTTAACAAAACCCACTGAGTTGTTTAATGAAGCAGTGTCCAGTGAATCCACAGCAAATAGAAGGCCATAAAGCTAGGATTAGGTTGCATGTTCTTTTTAAGGAATTCAGTGAGCTCAACTACATGTATTTAACAAAATGAAGCTTGGTAATGGGGTGCTTATTTTTGGAAAAGCAATGGAGAAGTCACAAAACCCATAAAAATTGTAATTTCCCAATTTTTTAAGGTAATTAAGAGGTGTCACACACATGTATTGTAAAAACGATATTGAATTTAATGAATAATAAAATACCATATACATTTTTATACTGTGTTAAAGAAACCATTTCCAAGATTGTGTGTAGATCTTTTCGTGCTTGAAATTGAGCACATATTCTAGAATAGGTATTAAAACACCCCATAAGAGCCATTCAAGAGCTAACAAAATTGCTGTGACATGAAAATAAAGGAGCTCAGGGTATTTTGGTTTTATTTATGCAGAAGATGGATAAGATACAACTTGATCACAGTTTCAAAGCAGGAAATTTCTGCTGGGAGGAAGTTATTTAATTTAGCACATAAAGGCATAATGAGATCCAAAGGCTTGAAACTGAAGCTAAATGTATTGATTCTACATATAGCATGACATTCGTAATAGTGAGGAAAAGTGAACACTGGAGCAATATGCTTCAGAAATCACGAAGATAGAGTATCTCATGGAAAGTATCTCATGGAAAGAGAGAAAAACTCTGTTTGAAGCCCACTTGAGGTACAAATCCTAGGACTGTGCCATTTATTTGTACCAAAATATACACTCTCCTTATTAGACAGAAAATAAACATACATGATACTTACAGAAATTCCATGAAGGAACTGCGAAACTTTATTCCAGGAGCTGAAAGTAGCTATGTTCAGAACTACAAATCTAGTTGATAAAGGTGATGTTTTCATGATGGTCATGTTTTGACAAAATCCATCCTGTGACACCGATACAACTGACTAACCTCTTAGTTGCTTTTGTCGTGTAGTGGTATGTTGGAATTCTTCAACCATTCTATTACTTAATTATTTGGCTAAATAATTGGTGGTTTTTCAGCTGATAAATCACTCAGTGGCATAGGTCTTCTACAAGAAGAGGCTGTTCTATATTCAAGTTACACACTAGATCAATTTTACCGTTGGTTTATGTAATGGAGTAACACCAGCCCACAAGCATCTGCTTTTAGGGTGCTGCATATTCCTACTCAAACTTGTACCTTTCAGTGCAGATCAGATGACAAGACTTCTTCAAGCAGCACCCCACAATTCCAAATGTTTTAAAGGGAAGGCTATAAATAGGGATCTATGTGTGTCTTTTAATAAAGCAGTGGATGTGAGACCCTGGTTTCTGCAGAATAATTATAACCCCTTAATTTAGTGCTCATTGCTGTACATAGATTGGTTTTAGTCATAGAAGAACTGAAGTGGTTGCAAAATACATAGCTGGGTGTAATTTTCTTCTGTGGGAGAATTTCGATTTTGAAAAAGATGCCATATATAATTTAACAGTTTTTATTTGACAGGGGTTGTTTGTTAGCTGCTTGGCATGCTTTGGCAGGAGGTCCTTTATGATGCTAAGGCTTCAGTTCCTGTGCCTTGGAAGGAGGAGCAAATAAGACTGCAGTCCTTGTTACTGCAAAAAGATTTAATCTGAAAATAAAGAATGAAGAAAAACATGTCTTACCTCTGGACCTTGTGGTCCTACTGCAGGAAACACTGGTTTCAACTCTAGTCAGTTCTAACGTATCTGCACTTTCGATTCTCAGCTAACATACAAGACTTTCAAGTCTTCGTATTCCATTAGTACTAACATCTGAGAAGAATGAGACACATCAGATCTGTATGTATCACTTAGTAAAAATGAGTTATGGAAGTTGTGGCATGCTGTGGAAAGTTTGGTGATAGATCAGGCTTATGAGAAGCATTGCCCATTGATACCTCTCCTGTGTATGCAATCATTCACTGGTAACTTTGTTTTCCAGTAAAACATACCCATATATGCATGTGCTCTGACACCAGGCATTCAAGATGAGTGTGGATATGACATGAGAATATCAGATATATACTAACTGATCTTTGTACAAGTGACCAAAAGGATTTGCAAGAAAGATAGGAATCAGGTTGTAATGTTGGGAAATGGAAATTACCTTTAACTTGTGATGCAGTGGCCCAAGACATGAGACTGTGAATTCTTTATACATACCATATTATATAGAAACCTTCATCTGGGAAGCTGGATTCAGGTTTTTTTCCCCAAAAAAGAATGATAAGTTTTTGAATAACACGATGATGAAATACTCTGTGAAAAACTGTTGCATACAAGTGAATAGAGAGCAAAATACCCTATTTCATATATATGAATATTAAAACCAGGATTAAACATTTTTTTCAGGAAGAATATTTTTCCATTACATTGTTACTGCTGTCACAATTCCACTGCTCAATGCATGTAATTCTTGTTCTACTTGTTTCACTCTAAATCCCCATAGATAATCCTGACTTAGTTTTCACCTTTTTCCCTTTTATGTATAAATTAGGATAATCTGGCATGTCTGTAAAAGCCTCTGGGAGATCCAACATACTGATGAGAGAGAGAAGATGGTGGCTGGTTTTTATCCTTGAAACCCATGATGCTTCTGTGTTAGTCCCCCCTTTTAATATCTTCAGGGATATTCCACTCTCCCTGATAGAGGAGTCATTATTTAACAGAAATACTCCAACCAAAAGTAAAAGAATAAATTCAGTCAGAAGCCTGACTGTAGCTACTTCTGCTCTATGTCCTGGTAGAGTTCTCTGGTATGAAAAGATTTAATGAGGTAAGGTTGCACTCCTCCATGCTTGGCAGCAAAGCACAGAATTTGCAGAAGATGGACTAAAGTGCCAAGAGCATGTGCCCAGTCATAATATCTCTTCAGCTACTTCTGCTGAAAGGACTTCACTGCAGCTCCCAGAATGCTTGAAAACCATCAGTCAGTAAGAAAGCTGCTATTTAAGCACGAGTCCTTATTTCAGGGCAATTGGCCAGACTGACTCAGACGGCAAAATTTCTCTCTTATTTTACTAATTTGTGAAGTATTTCAGGCTGAACACTCATACAAATAAATGTGAATTACTGGAGAGTGCTTTCTTTGTGATACACTGAATGAAATCATGTACTTTGTTAGGATATTTCCTAGAAAACTGATTTAGCATGATACTTATGCTGAAGGGCGACAGCAGCTTAATCAGGGCAATACTAGTGTAATTTTCATTAAGGACAGTCATTAGCTAGTATCATGTATTTATACTGAATATAAAGCTTAAGTTAAAGGGAAAGCACTTATCTGTTAAAACTTTCTCTCCGTTTGAAATCCCTGTTGGGTTGAGTCTTGCTTCCTCTCACTTTACAACAAGTAGTGGGGAACTATATAAAACAAGTGCCACAGAGCAGTCATTCAGAATGGACCAGAGGATTACCAGCAGCCCTTAAAAAGTATCCTAGATTTTATTGTCCATTTTAAACAGGTTGTTTAAATGATGCACAGGTTTTTCTTATTTTATAGGTTATGATTGCATTCAGGACCATGTTTTGGAAACAAGTTGCAAACAGTTACTTCAGGTGTTTTTCTGCCTTGCAGTCCTATAATGTAGTTATGATGTTTTATACACAGCTTTTCATCTGGAAATACCGGTGCACTGAGATCACTCTCAAAGGAAATATTGTATTCTCTTGTAAAATACTATCTCCACCTTGCAAATAGGGAAATGAAAGCACAGGGACGAAAAGGTACATTTTTTCACCCTGAGGTTATCCAGGCGAGTGTTGGCAACATCAGGAGTAGAGCTCAAGTCTGTCAAGGTCGGTGGTCTCCATTAAACTGCTTGTTTAACAAGTGGAAAAGCAATTGCATAATACTTTAAGATTTTAACCCTCAGATTTGCTAATCCTTGGACTCTGCTTCCCTGAGGCCAATTTTAGAATAGTTTACTGCAAGTCTTCAACTGTGAAAGGGTAAGTAAAGTTTCTGACATTTGCCTGCAGTATAGGTGCTCAGTTGGCATTTTTGTGTTCAGGAATTTACAATATGATGTGTTCAGTTCTGGGCCCCTCACTACAAGAGAGACATTGAGGTGCTGGAGCAGGTCCAGAGAAGGGCAACGGAGCTGGTGCAGGCCCTGGCGCACAAGTGTGATGAGGAACAGCTGAGGGACCTGGGGGGGGTTTAGTCTGGAGAAGAGAAGGCTCAGGAGGGACCTTATCGCTCTCTACAACTGCCTGAAAGGACGTTGTACTGAGGTGGGGTCAATCTCTTCTCCCAGGGAGCAAGTGACAGGCCAAGAGGAAACGGCCTCAAACTGCACCAGGGGAGGATTAGATTTGAGATTAGGAACAATTTTTCCACTCAAAGGGTGCTCAGGCATTGGAACAGGCTGCCCAGGGCAGTGCTGGAGTCACCGTTCCTGGAGGTATTTAAAAGTTGTGCAGATGCAGCGCCTAGGGAATCATGGTTTAGTCGTGGTTTATGGTTGGACACAATGATCTTAAATCTCTTTTCCAACCTAAGGAATTCTATGATTCCGTGATTATATATAACATGTAGATAGGGCTTTATGTTGTAAAATCTTGTTTCTGATCATAATCTTGATGTTTGAATACATAAGGTATTTCACACGTGTTTGTTAATAACATATTTCTTATTCCTCTCTTCTTTTGTTTTACTTTTTATCCTTGATAATTTCCTGCAACAGCAGTTTCTTGTTAAAGGCTCTGAGCCAGATGGGAAAGGGCCCATGTGAGTTAGGGAGATGGCAATTCAGCATGGAGAGAAAAAGACCCAAAGAGAAGAGAGGGAAGACTGCATTCACGATATAGCTACGTTAATTCCAAGTGAACTAGCTGGGTTGCCAGAAGCAGTGTAAGTGGTTTGACTTAAACTGTGGATTGGACTAGGTAATGTAGTTCATAGCTAGACTTGGGTAACTCTGCGTTTCACTGCACTGTACTTCTGTTGATGAGACAGAGCAATAGTTACAGGTGAGCTTTTGTTTAAGTGTGAAATGATTCACTCTAAATAGTGTTCTGTCAGATTTTAAAAGGAAGCCTTCTACAGAACTGTTATTATTAATTTAATGTCTTGTTAAGTACAAATCTGATACATTTAGGTGTATATGAACCAATAATGTGTAAAAATATATTTAAGATGTATCCTGCTGAATTTTTGTGTTAATTCATATACCTTATTTCACAGGCAAAAAAAAACAACCAGGGAAGAAGGGATCACTCACAATTGCATGTGTTTCAGCCTGCTGATGTTGGTACTTCCATTAGAACAGTTGCAAGTCAGCATGACTCCTTTTGTTTTACAGAAAGCAAGAAGAATTGAGGTTAATTAGAGTTTAATTGGTAGTTCTTTCTCCCCAGCGCCCCCCTTTATGCCTGGTGATAACAGGAATCTTAGAGTCCTTGACTGTGATGCCAACAGATTGGGCAGGCCTGGTGTTGATTGCTACTGTCAGCATGAAAGTGGTGCTGCAGTTCTGCAGCTCCAGTTCTTAATCAATGAGGTAAGGACATATTCAGATTCTTCTGTATGAATTTAGTTCAATAAGTCAATTCATGTATTGTAATTTAGTGATACAACTTTCACATTGACAAATTGTGCCAATGAATACATGGCATACCTCCAGAGGGCATTCACCTTGCAGCCTTTTAGAAGATTATTTATGGCACTGCATGCAGGGGAAAGTATTACCTTCATATACATCAGTATGAAGTACTGAACAAAAGGCAGTTAATATAAGAATGTGTGCATGTAGATGTAAAATCCATTAAATTACAAAATATGCTGCACAGTCCTGATTCAAATAGAAATTAATAAATGAGATGAATCTTTCTATGGAAATATATTGATGGTTATTGGCTGAAAACTCAATATTTGGGGATATGTTACTACTTGAAACAAGGGGTCATCAATCAAACCAGCATGCTTAGTCTTTGCAAATGGTTTGTCAAAATCACGTTTAGACAACACGAAGAAACAGTGACAGGTTATAGTGTGTTCTGTGCAGAAGATGTCTAGAGATGGTAATAGTCAAGAGACTTTCTGGAGCATATAAACTTGTTCTGTTTTTTTCCTAGAACCTCTCAGCTTGTCCAGACTATAAGCTAGTTGTAGTTCAGTTTTAATTCATTTTTCTCCCATAATATAAGGAAAGAGTTTTGACAGTTTTAAGTCCTCTTTCTAAGCATGGACATCTTGGAGCTTCTCAATGAAAGAGTTTTAGTTTTGCAGTTTTTTAAACCTGAGAATTTTTTTTTCATCCCCTTGTTTGGAGAAACTGCCTGAACCACAGAAACTGAGGAGGTGGAACTGAAACTTCAGAAAGAATCAGTCCAGTGGAATTCTCTAGAGGAAGGCAGGGATGAAAACAGGGAGGCCAAGGTTTGCATTGTTTTCGTTCTTTTTATTAGGTGATGACTAGTACCCCTAATACGTAAGATTAATTTGATTTCTGTGGTGGAGATTCTCTCTGACACTGGTCCAAACCCTTTGAGAGATGAGAATTAAAGCACGGATTATACTGAGTTAGAGAAGTCTCACCTGCATATGTCAACACTGAAAAGAACAGTTCCTAGGATTAGGAAGGAAATTCAAGATGCAAAAAGAGAAGTTTGTCAGTCAGTCATAGTTGATATGAACTGATCTTTTCATCTCCATGCTCACGCTTCCTCAGCATACAGCATTGCCTTCTGTTTTGGCAATATCTAGTTCTTCTCTGTGATAATAATACACAGGGATGGATCTTTTGTATTAGAACTGATCTGAGGTGTAAATGTAGTAAATCACTCTAGCAGCAGTAGGGAGCTTCCTCTGCAGTCAATTTTCATATGGCATCAGTATGTTCCATGGTGATAAGAAAGACAGCAGAAAGGAGTAACTTCACATCAAGCTGCCAGGCAGATAGAGGTCTGGACTTTGGATGGTGCCCATTTTGGGGGCACCAGAAGCAGAACCAGTCTTCAGAATATTTCTGATCTGTGATAAAGACTCTCCTTTTGTCTACATCTCTTAGTTTTGCCTAGGTCCTCTCCTCCTGCTACCTGTCCCTGTGTTCTTGCCTGCATCTTCTGAAGGTCATGTGGTCTTGCTAGGATTGCTAAACTGTGCTTGGCACCATCACTTGTGTGTCAGCATGTGCACTAATCCCTTTATCCTTTAGATATCCTTCACCCTCACCTTTTTAAGTAAATATTGTCTGTTCTCCATTTCTTTAATCTTTATGCTTATGTGGAAGTACATGAAAGTTCACATGTAACCTTGCTATAAAGCTTTAAATTGATGGAGTTTTGATTTAACTTTGGCTGATCTCGTACTCATTTAAAATATTTACATTTATCAGATCAATTCAAATTGACTATTATTTACAGTAGAATATTTTCTTTTTTCTAGAAGAAAGCAAACATTTTCCATAAACTGTATTTTTCTATGGGTAGATCATTACCAGTGAGCATCACTGAAGAATAAGGCAGGATCTGCAGAAAAGTAATATGTTGTGCTGTATTTTGTGTCTGCTCTAGGGTGCTTTGGTCAGTGCAAGTGCAGATGATGCACTTCATTTGTGGAATCTCCGACAGAAGCGACCAGCTCTCCTACATTCTCTGAAATTTAACAGGGAAAGGTAAGACTATCCAACAAAACAAATGGACTATTTTACTATTTTTTCAAAAACCAAGCTTGCTTTGTGGATTTCTGATGATAGACGCTTATTAGTTTGTCTTTCTAAAGGTAGGTATAGTTTTCCGTACCTTGAGTATTGTTCTCGTAGAACAAAGCCTCACTTTCTCTTCCTGCAGCCTTCTCAGAACTAGACAAATTCTGTCTGCTTTTTGTCAAAATGTTTTTCATCTTACCTTCTTTTTGCATTAACTGCTATGAAGAGTAGCGTGTGTGTTTTTCTTATTACCAGACACAAGGACTGTGATCTTTCAGCAGACCTGTTGTTCACTTCTAGCCAGAGTACCTCAGCTGGCTGTATCGGGGAAATTATTATTTTCGTTACCTTGAAAGGGTTTTAAATTGTAAAATACTGGAAGTTGGGCAGAAATAAATTGTCAATTTGGGAAACTGGCAAATGTCAAATGAATCAGAGACAGTTGCTCTAAATTCTAATCTATCAGTACCTAATTGTAGAAATCCCTACTGAAAATAGATTAAATGAGAGGTGGTGATTTTCAAACTCAAACAAAGCAGAGCACTTTAGTTTCTCTGGTCACCCAAGTAAAACCTGCTGCAATATTATGGAGCTTCAGTGTTACACTTCTATTAATAATAAGAAAAAGCTATGTGTTTCTATTAAAGAATTAGGTCAGCAGAGTAAGATTCTGTGCAGAAATGCAGCAGTTGTGAGTCCTTGAGCAACAGTTATTCTGTACTTCATCTTTGGGATGGACCTTTCTGAAGTTTGAATACATAGATATAATACATAGATGTAATACGTAATAGTATGGTTTTGACTGGAGGTTTCAGTGATACTGTCATTTTCTTAGATTGTACACTCAGTGTTTATTAAGGTGCAGCAAATTCTTTCAGATATTTATATATATATGCTTTTGCAGTGGTGAAAGGTATCAGTACTTTACCAGAGCTGCGAAGTAAACAAGGCTATTAAAGCTTTAGCTGCAGCAAATCTGAAAATTATTATGGAAGTAGACATTTTCTTTATTGTTTATTATTAAGATACATGTCATGCTTGCACTTAGATGTCACCAAGATGCAGGTTTTGTTGTGGGAAGAACTACATAATAATCTAGAAAATATACATCCTGATTCCAAACTATTATCACCTATATCAAAAGTATATGCAGTGTTTTGGAACTTTGTGAGGGAAGATGAAAAACTAAAATTATATGTCCATATGCTAGCTGCTTCTGAACAATAAATTATCATTTTACACATGCTGTAATACTTTAATCTTAGTATTCTCACCAGGCAGGTACATTATCTACAGCTTGTCATTGATAAATGTATCTTGTAGAATGTCTAGCCAGCAACCTGCCATACAACCTAAGGGATCAATACTTCTAAGAATTAAGCATCTGTTCAGCAGTTTGCTTGTCATTTCTCTTCAGAGACACTAGTGTGGTATCTTGGTCAGAATTTTGTCAGAATTTCTTGATATGTTAGTCACATTTAGGCATTGCTGAGAGCAACATTTGTGTCATCACATTTATCTAAATTTTCTTTTGCTCCTGACAGCCTAAAACGTTGGGGAAAATATTTGGAAGCAAGTTATTTGGTATACTGGAAACTGCATAAACCGAAATTTAGTATAATGACATTTTTGAACTGAGGTTTTCAGTCGGATCTGAGGATGGTATTTATTTGTAACAAATGCATAGCTAGCTATACTGCCTTTTATCAAAGTCTCAATGTAAGTAAATATAACTCTTAATAAGTTGTAAGTAAAAAAAAACAACTGTTTCATGCATATTTTAAGTAACTGTTACAATCACTGCCACTTAAATAACTTTTATTAGCATATCAAAGCCTATGAGGCAAATATCCTGATACACCTCTGTATAATGTTGTCAAAGCAGCAAGTCCAGTTTTAAATTAAAAAGGAGTTTTCAGTAAGTATGAAGAAATAACTTTTTAGGCAGTTCCTTTCTTCTCAGGGTTGTCTAGCACTGCCCTGTGTCTGGGGTTTTGTAGTCAGGCACTTGGCTCCAGAATGAAATCTCTTAATTTTTCATAGAATCATAGAATCACAGAATGGTTTGGGTTGGAAAAGACCTTAAGCTCATCCAGTTCCAACCCCTGCCATAGGCAGGGGCGCCCCACCGTAGACCCTTTCACCCCAGTCACAGTAGACCATGTCACCCAAGGCTCTGTCCAACCTGTCCTTGAACTAGTGCCAGGGATGGAGCATTTACCACTTCTCTGGGCAACCTGTTCCAGTGCCTCACCACCCTCACAGTAAAGAACTTCTTCCTTATATCTAACCTGAACTTCCCCTGTTTCAGTTTGATGCCATTACCCCTTGTCCTGTTGCTACAGTCCCTGATGAAGAGTCCCTCTCCAGCACCCTTGTAGTCCCCTTCAGACACTGGAAGCTGCTCTGAGGTCTCCATGCAGCTTCTCTTCTCCAGGCTGAACAGCCCCAACTTTCTCAGCCTGTCTCCATATGGGAGGTGCTCCAACCCTTGATCATCCTCGTGGCCTCCTCTGGACTTACTCCAACAGCTCCATGTCCTTCTTATGCTGGTGACACCAGAACTGCACACAGTGTTGCAAGTGGGGTCTCACCAGGGCAGGGCAGAGCAGAGGGGCAGGATCACCTCCTTCGACCTGCTGGTCATGCTGCTTTATTTCAATTCATCTAACTCTCAATTTTCTAAGCTTGATTACATATTTAGGATATGAAACTCAACATAAGCCTTTGGGCAAGTAGCAAAAAGTAGGGTTAAAGCCCTAATTCACCCTCTCATTAATTTGGAACATTTCTCTGTATATATGCCTAAGAGAGCTAAGTCTGAGAGTTTCCTCTTTTTTCTGAATATATTTCTTGCTAGAGCACAGAAGTTATAAATTATGTGATGCTCAGAGAAACAGCTAATAATGGTTGCCTTAGCTGTAAGAAATTTGAGGGAAAATGGATATATGGGGATTGGGGAGGCTGGTAGGATAAAAAATTAATTTTCTTCAAGAAATTCAAAGGTTTGTTCTTCTGAAAATTAAGTTTTCTTCAGTGTTGAACTGGTAATGTTTGTTTTTTTCTTTTATTTTAATCCTTTCTCAGGGGGAGATTAAAGGGAGGCAAGATTTATACTGAAGAGAGATGGTCTTTGGTCTTGTTTGAGGTTTGTGACACAATGAATGGATTGGTTTTGATATTTCTTAAATAGGGAGAAATGCGTGTTGGCAGACAAGAGGTTCGAAAATACTGATACATGTTTTCAGAAAACAGCTATTGAAGAAGGCCATACAGTTTTACACAGTCAAAGGCTGTATTAGTCCAAACTCTTGATTAATTTGACCTAAGTTAATCAGCTTTCATGTTGAATCATTTTATTCAGAGGTTTTAAAATGTTTGATGCATGAATGATACAGCTTTTAGATTCTGTTAGACGGATGAGTTCTGCTTAAGTCTTTGGCTATTACTCACTGCACCAGTCTTCACACAGTTGAACTGTTTAAATTGTGATTTGCTTCTGTTTCTTGACGTTTAAGATTGCAGGATGATGGACTAAAATCTGCTCTTAGCAGTATTTCTGTATATGTTTATTCAACTACTTGGATCAAATTTCACCAAGTGTATACATATATATATTCCTCCTTTCCTTTCCACAAAACTAAATTCCATGTTTGTCCTTTTCTTTAAATGTTAGTAACAACATCAGTGTAAAGAACTCTTCAATACAGCACGGTGGTTATCTTTCACTTATCATGTAGCATCCAGTATTAAGACACTGAATGGTTTAGGAATAATAATTCACTAAGAAAATGCACTTGCGTAGCCATTAAGTCATACTTTGCAACCTCTTCAGATATTTTTTTTCTTCTTGCAATCTGTTGTTAAACTGATGGTGCAACATTAGCAATATTAAGTTGTCTCTGATAATTCACTGCTCCTTTACAAAGTGCCTCTTTGGATCCTGTGTAGAAGGAACCCTGAAGAATGAGGCATAATGGCAAACATATTTTTGTTCTACAATGTAAGACTCTGGACTTCATAGAAAATTATATGGTTTTGACCGTTATCAAAATACAAGGTTATAATCTAAAATTTTTATTGCTGCAATTGGAACGGAATACAATGCATTAAGAACCTTAAAGAAAATTTAAATGTAAGCAATGTGTTTCACTGCTCAGCCCTGTACCAAGAGCTGTAATGATAACACAGTTACTCAAAGAGATGCTTGACAGTAGCATATGACTGATAATACATGATTTGCCATTCCATTTACGAGTGGAAGAGACAGGTAGAATTTTTTTACCTCTGCAAAGTCTTTACAAGAATCACTTCCATATTTTTGAAGGTTAACATTATGGTGATATTCCTTATGTTAGTTCCTGCTTTTATAATGTTGTACGAGATGACATATTCATCTTCAGTAGACATTTTAGGCAAAATAAATAACTCAGTTACTGGAACTGTCTATGTCTGATGCAAAGAACAACTGAAAACTATTATAGGCCTTAGTTATTTTTAATATAGTCAGAGCAGACTTCAGCAAGTATAGATTTAATTATACAACAGTTTACATAGCTTTTCCATTTAAGATTAATGCAACTGGGACAGGAAAAACCAGCAAGGATTACAGTGTGAAATCCAGGTCCTTTAGGCCTGCGTGCACTAGTTTCCTAGGAACACAGGTCACGTCCTAATATTCAGAAGCTGAACTAATTTAATTGTTGACTGACACAGGGAATAGCCCTCCTCTTTTTCCTCTTCTAGCCAGTGCTGACTGGTGTGTTACAAGTGAGCCAGCAGCACTCAGCAGTTTATACACTAACTTACACTCAGCGTACATGAAAACAGTTCTTTTGGGTCTTTAAATACATCTGCACACCCTGTGCACTAATGCCATGACGATACTGTAAGTGCCGTTCTGCAGGGGTATCACCAAAGACTGCATAACTGGCTTTGGGGCTCTGATCTGTAATACGTTCTTTAGT